TTTCCACATTCTATGCATTGATATGGTTTCTCCCCTGTATGGGTTCTTTGATGTGACCTAAGATTATCATTCTGACTGAAGCTTTTCCCACATTCTATGCATTTATATGGTTTCTCCCCAGTATGGGTTCTTTGATGTACCCTAAGATTATCACTCTGACTGAAGCTCTTTCCACATTCTATGCATTTATATGGTTTCTCCCCTGTATGGGTTCTCTGATGTAACCTAAGGTGATCACTCTGACTGAAGCTCTTTCCACATTCTATGCATTTATATGGTTTCTCCCCTGTATGGGTTCTCTGATGTAACCTAAGGTGATCACTCTGACTGAAGCTCTTTCCACATTCTATGCATTTATATGGTTTCTCCCCTGTATGGGTTCTCTGATGTAACCTAAGGTGATCACTCTGACTGAAGCTCTTTCCACATTCTATGCATTTATATGGTTTCTCCCCTGTATGGGTTCTCTGATGTAACCTAAGGTGATCACTCTGACTGAAGCTCTTTCCACATTCTATGCATTTATATGGTTTCTCCCCTGTATGGGTTCTCTGATGTAACCTAAGGTGATCACTCTGACTGAAGCTCTTTCCACATTCTATGCATTTATATGGTTTCTCCCCTGTATGGGTTCTTTGATGTGACCTAAGGACACCTCTATGACTGAAGCTCTTTCCACATTCTATGCATTTATATGGTTTCTCCCCTGTATGCGTTCTTTGATGTGACTTAAGGTTATCACTCTGATTGAAACACTTTCCACATTCTATGCATTCATATGGTTTCTCCCCTGTGTGAATTCTTCTATGTGTAGTAAGGTGAGTGCTTTTGCTGAAGGTCTTTCCACACTGGAGGCATTTATACTGCTTCACCCCCTTGGGGCGGTTTTCACCTGGAAAATTATTGTTCATATTCATAGTCTTTCCATGTTCCATTCACTGATTTAGTTTTTCCTTTGGGTCAACATAGCCATGTCTATGGATATCTGAAGCTCATTTCAGTGTTGTGATACACGTTCTCCTTCCTTTTCCTTGACGTTTTTCCCAACTATCAGGAGTTTGTTAATAATCAGCTTTATGTGGAATTGGAGATATACTCTTCCCTGTCATTGGTTGGCTTTCATTCCGTCTTTTTGTCTCCTTTTGGGTGTCTAACTGTTTTCTTTTCCTGCTTCACACTGGGTTCTGGTCCCTGTCGAAATAGCTGAAGATGAAGAATTCTGCTGGCCTTGGTTTGTTATCTGAGTAAAAAAAGAGGAATATAGCAGAGAACCTTTTAAAAGCATACAGTAACCCGCAACCCCACCACGTTTGCATAAAAAGGCTTTTTAATGAGTAAAGAAAACACATGAAGAAAGATTTTTGAAAATACTGTATAATCCTACCCTAATCTTTAATGGAATGTTTGTACTAGTGCAGAAAACCTTTTAGGTGACATTTCATGTAAAAATAATTGCAATTAAAAATAACCAGAGTGACTTTTAAAATGACAATGCATTTAGTCATCATCCCCCCCCATCAGGTCGGGAACCCGTGATCTATAGAGCTTCTCCATCTTTGGCTGCAAAGAATATAATCAATTTGATTACGGTATTGCCCATCTGGTGATTTCCATGTGTAGAGTCGCCTCTTCTGTTGCTGGAAAAGAGTGTTTGTGATGACCAGCTTGTTCTCTTGACAAAACTCTATTAGCCTTTGCCCTGCTTCGTTTTGAACTCCAAGGCCAAACTTTCCTGTTGTTCCTCTTATCTCTTGACTTTAGCATTCTAGTCCCCTATAATAAGAACATCTTTCTTTGGTATCAGTTCTATTTAAATATTTTGTTTTTAAACTACTAGGAATAGGGTAGTGAATACAAAAGGCAAAAGGAAGTGGAAGGGATGGGAAAAGGGTTTTAAGGATAGGAGAACACAAAGTATACAATCATCTAATCTATTCGCTTTTCAATGCAAAAAACAACTTTATACTCTTTTTTACTGTTTGATTATCCTCTAAATATCAGCTTTAATTTAAATCTAAGTTATTCCAACTCTATCAGGAAATTGAGAGCAATTATAAAATACATCCCCTCTTTCAATTTCCTTCTGTCTTGGACATACGTTCAGCATGCCTGAAAGAGTATCCATTTCTAGTACTTCTCGTATTTTCTCAGTACCCTTGTCTTGTTTCTGTGACTCTATTTTCTCAATAAAACTGTTCTGGAGTTAGTACAGTTTCCTTTAACTATGGTTTCCCTTTCATCAGGTCTTCCACCTGGTTGAGGCGCTCATTTACCTGCTGAAATCCTGTTATTTTTGTCATTTGCATGGTAACCTGCCATTCTTTATCTGGCAATTCCCAACAGTTGATATTTAAAATTTTCAGAGGTCATTTCCATCTTTTCAATATGTATGGTTTGTACAAATAATATTTTATTATTCCACTATTATATCAACAAACCAAACCCATCATCATATACCTCCCCTGAGTATGTCCTCCCTTCCTTGCCCAGATATTATGGCAATATTATCAAAATCTACA